CAAGCGATGGCCTCCAACCTAATAGCAATGGCCTCCAACCTACAAGCTATGGCCTCCAACCTAATAGAAATGGCCAACCTACAAGCGATGGCCTGGAACATAATAGCAATGGCCTCCAACCTAATAGCAATGGCCTCCAACCTACAAGCGATGGCCCGGAACCTAAGAGCAATGGCCTCCAATGGCCTCCAACGTGATTGAAAATATGTTCCTTGTGCCTCTTCAAGGGCTGGGCGCTTCTCACGAGACAAGGTGGCAGATGATGAACTCGATATTGCCACTGCCTGCACCTTGGAGACACAACAGCAGACCAAGACAGCTCCACAACAAACCCAACAACACATAGAGCAAATAGCACAAGAACAAGAAAATGAAAAAGGATGGCAAGGCCTGGCAAGGCCCCGATAAACGGGGCCTTACCTTCCTCATTCCTCGTTGCGTTCCTTCCTTCTTATTTTCATTTGCTCTGCGTTCTTATATACTCTGTCTCTGAAAGCTCCAAGTTTGACACCTGCGGGGCTTTAGGAACATCAGCTGCTTGAGCTTTGGGAACGTCGGATTTCCGAGCAGAAGCAGAGCGAGCCTGAACAGTTCAAGCTATGCACACTCTTTCAACCTCTGAGTCAACACGGTTCAAGCCATGCAACCTGATAATCTGATATTGGAAAAGCTGCTTCAAATATACTTGATCCGTTTGTTGAGGCCCACCTGTTTGGTCGGTTGTGGAAGTGCACCTTTGAGCGGAGTAAAATGTCCAAAGCGGTCAAAGTAGAAGGCAATGTGCAGCTCGTGCTTGTTTGCCCTTGAGACTGAAGCGAAGGAAACATCTTTCTGACCCAGAAAGGTCAATTTGCTTTTTTTGGAATGGTACTTTGTTACTAGTAGCGTCCTTGTTACTAGTAGTACGGCCAGGAGCCCCTAGTAGCGTCCTTGCTCCTAGTAGCGATGCCCTTTGTTCCTAGTAGCTTCTTGCTCCTAGTTGTAAGGCCAGGAGCCCCTAGTAGCGTCCTTGCTCCAATTGATATCAACTGAAACAATCACCTTGGTCGTCATGTGTTTGCCTTTATTTGGAGCACAGGTGCCCATACCATGCGGCGACCTCTCTGTTCTTAATTCGAAGTCCCCAATCACGGTAGTTGTCATTATCCACCTCGGCAACGTTCTCAGCCCATGAACCTTCCACATCCTACCAATCCTCTCCCTCAAGAAAGATCTCACTGTCTCAGTGTGTGCCCCCCCGCATTCCTTCAGGTTGAACCGCTCAGTCTGCGTACCAGGCGTACCAATGATGCAAGATTCAAGGGCTGCTAAAGTGTCACAACTGAAGCCTATTTCAAGTTCTGATGTGCGGCAGTGCGCGAAGACTCCAAGTGTCCTTTCGGAACTTCTATTGCAAACAAGTGTTTTAGCCTCATCAAATGACGAGTGCTTTTCAGGTTCATGCAGCTGCGCTCGTACTGGAGGTAGAAAAGGGGCAGTCTATCTGTCTATCTAGCACGGCTGAGATCACCCGGCTCACCCCCAACAGGTGCGCAGGTCTGCGCAACACCCAGGCTTGAGACGAATCAAGGAACATCACAGATTGACACAGCACCCATTGCATCCAAGAAACAAATTGGCACTTGTATTTGTACGCTTCCAAAATGGTTGAAAAATCATCATTGTCACGCATCTCATCTCTCGAAGGAATTACAACCAAAGCATCATTCAACCTGGATGGTTTATGCGATTGTATCTCTGAAAGTTGTTTCGCAATTACAATCATGTGTTGTCCAGCAGGCACAAGGTTCCAGTGCTTCAACACAACACAGGAGCGGCCTGCTGTTCTGCTAAGAAGCTTTGCAGAGACCTGCTCTCTTCCAGCTTTGTGAAGGAGCCGCTGACCAATGATCGCATGGACCACAAATCCTTCTTTGTCATAGAAACTGCACGCACGCTCCACACCTTCCCATGAAAACTTGCTGCCTGCACCACGTTGTTCAACGTTCTCTCCGAAGTCGCAGCCAATGTTTGCACAGTTGAGCACGACGTGTCTTAGCTGGCTGGAAGCTGGTGCCTTTGTCTCTATCGGTCCTTAGTGCAAAACCAATTCTGTACTGTTCCTTCTGGTTTGGTTTGGTTTGGGAGGTTATCCGCACATTGGCATATGACATCAGAAACCCACCACAGAACAATCGGAAGACCGAATGACCGAGGACAAAAACTTGGGGAAACTCGATTATTGCGCACCGTTGACGAAACTACAGGTGAAACACAACCCAAACATGTTCAAGTCGGTTCCTGGATTCTACGACTTGAAGTTTGAAGCGTGTTTATTTGAGTTCTACATCTGATTTTTGAAGTATTCATTCAGGTCTCCACGCGAAGCTGGTCTTGCAGGCGCTAAACTGGCAACTTTTCTCCTGGAAAGTGTCTGGACATGCGAATACCAAGAGATTGATGGAAATGTGTTTGGCAAGTCTTGTCAACAAAAAAACACGCCCAAACACAATGGAATTGT